TCGGGCGGGTTTCGCGACGGTCTGTGTGTGTTCGATAGCAACTCATGGGAGCTTATTTTCAAATGAACGTTCGTCCTTGGAAACAGTGAACCACAGTTCTGTATAACGATTAGGGAGCATCGCGCAACAACACTTTGGCGCATTTTGTGCACTTTGAGGGGGCACATTTGCGCACTGTTGTGCACTTTTGCGCACTTTGTGTTTGAGGGAAGGCTCCCATCACTTTCATTCTAATGTGTGCGCGCGTGTGTGTACCATGCTGTACCCACTTCCTCTCCTCATCCGCTGCAATTCTGGCCCTGGTGTTGACATGCGTTCACTTTCCCTGCGGAAGGAAAACGCATATACGTCGGTCGTTGAAAGTAGGTATTTTTGGGCTCCCGGATCCCAGTCTACTTCAAGCGCCGTCCCACTTCAGTAATCGATATGCTTTCACTGTGTTTTGTCACTCCCTGGGAGGACCTGAGCCCGATCCACTTTCAACGCCTTCCTACTTCCTGTTTTTACCTACTTCTTCCAACCGACGTGTATACCGCCCCCATACTACAGATCAGTGGCACGGTTGGCTTTCTCATTCAAAATGGGGTATCCGAGTCTCGCATCCACTGCCAGGGCCATGAGTTCGAGGGAGGCTGGCCGCCAACGTCCCCGTAATTGCCGCCGTGCGAAGCAATGAGGTCTCCGAGTTTCGCATCCACTACCACTGCGAGGGCCAGGGTCTCGAGGGGGGCTCGAGGGGGGCCAGCCGTGATCGTTGCCATAGCTGCCGCCAGGCAGGAAGGGTGAGACCTGGAGGAGCCTATGACAACGCCCGTCCGCAGGTCATACGCACTCCAGCTACTGGTAAGTCGGGCGTGCCCCTCTACAGGATGAATATTCAAACATAGAAGCAAAATAGTCTGGGGACGATGTTCCGACTATGTTTGGTTATTTTTCGAATTTGGTTGGGACTATTTTTTATTGTTCGCCCAAAATCCGCCTGCAGGAGGACATGCCCGATCTAAAGCTATTGCTGAAGATGAAAGCTGTTGCTCTCTGGCGAGGCGCTCCCTCTCTGCAAGGCCTGGCCAAACAGCATGCTGGGCACACGAGATCCTGCAACCGCGGGCCGATCAGGCATCGACATGCCCACTGATCAAAGTCTCTGTTTTCGACCATCGGCCAGGTGGAGGAGGAGGTGGGGATGCGACGACGACGACGAGAAAAGGGACGGCGACGACGACGACGACGACGACGAGAAGAAGAACGCCGTACGTTGGGAAGGTAGGATGGGGCAAGGGGGAGGAGAAGCTGGAAACCGACCACTCTCCAGTTTCAGAAATTTCCAGGAGAGGGAGAGAGAGAGAGAGACACACAAAGACACAGAGCTGGAGAGAGAAAGAGAGGGAAGGGATACAAAAAGAAAGGGAGGGAAGAGAAAGGGAGACGCAAAGACACAGAGATAGGATGGATGGAGAACGAGAGAGAGGGAGGGAAGGACAGAGGGCTGTCCAGGGCTCGCTTGGGCGGCCTCCCAGGTCGTGACCAACGCCGACGAGGAGAAAAAGAAGCAGGAGGCCGAGTGGGCCAAGGAGCCGAACGTGGATCTTCAGATTCCTCTCCCGTCTCTTTCTCCCACAGCGTTCTCCCACCTCCGCCCCATTTCCCTTTTGACCGCTTCTTTCTGTGCCCCCTCTCCTGTTCATGCTCCACCTCCTCCTCCCACCTCTTGGTTGTCCTCCTCCTCGTCATCATAATCCTCATCATCATCATCATCATCATCATCATCATCATCATCATCATCATCATCATCATCATCATCATCATCATCTTCCTCATCCTCATCCTCATCCTCATCCTCATCCTCATCGTCATCATCATCATCATCATCATCATCATCATAATCATCATCATCATCATCATCATCATCATCATCATCATCATCATCACCATCACCATCACCATCACCATCACCATCACCATCACATCATCATCATCACCATCACCATCACCATCACCATATATCACCATCGTCATCATCATCAGCATCATCATCATCGTCGTCCTCCTCCTCTTTATCTCATCTCATCGTCCTCCTTCTGGTCCTCCCAGCCCTTCGCCTCCCCTCCTCCTCCCACCTCCTGCCTGCCACCTCCTTTCAACCCTTCTTTCTGCCTATCCCCCTTTCCCTCTCACCCTCATCCTTCCACCTACTTTTCCCACATCCCACCTTCCACATATTTCTATTCCACAGTTTAAGCAGTGCCTGGTCGTTGCCAGGCAATGAAACAGAGACTCCCGAATGCGTTCCTCTTGCGGAGACAGGAATGAGAGCTGTCAGCGGACGCGACTACTAGCATATCAATCATGTATTCGGGGCGAGCACCTTTGTTGTCGGGGATCTGCTGGGGTAGGGTAAATTATCAGGGGAGGGCCCCGAGAGAGTGTCAGGACGGCTGCAGAGAGCATCCGCATGTTTCAAGATGGCCGCACGAGCCCGCGGAGATACACGGGAGCTCGAAGAGAGGCGCCGGGAACAGCCCGATAAGGACAGAATCGTCAGAATCCCCACGTGTTTTACGATGTCCGTAGCCATTTGGGCTCGAGCCACCAGTTCGAGCCTTTGGTTCAAGGCCTCTGGAGTTGAGGCTTTGCTTCGCTCTGTTGGGCGTGCCCAGCAGCTCTGCTGTCGCAGGGCCGGTCCGTCGGACCGACATCGAGCGCTCGCTCAGCAGCCTCCAGGGCAGGATGGGAAGCTGCGTCGAGGCCTTCATTCCGCACGGCGATCGTGTGGACGATGTGGGCAATGAGGACGCTGGCGAGAATGGCTCCTTGACCACATCTAGAGACAGAGAGGCGCTAGCTCCTATCGGGTACCGCTCAGACGTGGATGGACTGCGAGCCGTCGCTGTGCTGAGCGTCATCGCCTACCACATGAACACAGGATGGCTGCCAGGAGGCTACGCCGGAGTCGATTTTTTTTTTGTCATCTCTGGATATGTTGTGACTGCGTCTCTGCTCGGTCACTCGTGCGGCAGCTGCTCGGAGTTCTTCTGCGGTTTCTACGCCCGCAGGGTCAAAAGGCTGACCCCAGCGCTGCTAATTTCCATGGCGTCATGTGGACTCTACATCGCCATCATGGTACCGCCCATGACTCCTCACTTGGAGGACAACTTCGCAGCCGCCGCCAGTGCGCTCTGCGGCGCTTCCAACGTGTTCTTCGCGCGGCTCTCCCAGGCGACTGGCGACGGCTACTGGGACGCGATGACGGGGCAGAGCAGGAACGCCGCCAATCCATTCGTGCACACCTGGTCTCTTGGCGTAGAGGAGCACTTCTACCTCGTGTTTCCCCTTCTCGTCTTGCTCGCGCACGGCTGCCGAGTTGTTGCCTCGGCTGGCTGCCGTCCGCCATGGCCGGCATCCCTCATCATCTTTGGGGCGTCCGCTGTGCTCTCCGGTTGTGCATCGCGGGTGATGACCGTGCACGTCCCAGACATGGCCTTCTATCTGCTGCCCGCGCGCTTCTGGGAACTGGCGGTCGGCGCCATCCTCGCCGACGCCCACGCTGCTGGGAGGCTGGACATGACAGCGGACGGGAGAAGCGCAGCAGTGGTGGGGGCTCAGGACCTGGTGGCCACACTGCTAATAGCCTCGAGCCTCGTGCTTGACACGGTCGGCGTGGGCTTCCCCTTTCCCGGCGCGCTGCTTCCCGTGGCGGGCGCCGCTTGCGTCATCATGGCAGGGCGGTGCGAGTCGAGCGCCCTGAGACGCGTCCTGGGGCAGGAGCTGCCAGTGTACATCGGCAAGCTGTCCTATCCTCTCTACCTGTGGCACTGGCCTGTTCTTAAGTTCGCTGAGGGTACTGTGTTGGACGATATGCCCGTCGCCTGGAGGTACCTCCTGCTGCTCTCAGTCATGCTCGCGCTGGCCTCTGCGACGTACCACGCGGTGGAGGAGCCTTTCCGGTCTTGGCGGCCCAAGGCCCACTGGCACGCGTTCGCCATGTTGCTGCCCGCCGCTGTCGTCTTGGCGGGCTGCATGCTCGCACTTCGCGGCCCGCTGTTCGGCAAGCTGAGCGTGTCGGCAGGAAACTCAGAGGCCCCTTCCGCAACCATGGCCTCGACCTCGAGCAGCCCAGGGGAACACGGCCACCTCGAGCAGCTCGCCCCCGCGAGCCATGACCTGGCTTTAACAGCTTGCGCGTGCGGCAGGGTTCCTGAATTCACGCATGCGCCAGCGACTGCTAACGATGGCAGGGATGGTCAGCCATCTTGCTTGGACATGAGCGGTGGCTCTGAGCTGAACAAGAGCTGCTGGGCCGTCTATCATCGTTGCAGCGGCGATGAATGGTGCGACGGTGAGTGCGAGCTTCAAGGGAAAAACTGCACGCAGGAGAAGCGCATGGACGAAGCCTTGATCGAGCTCTTCGACAGGCAGAAGCGGCAGTGCTTATCGCCAGCGACAGGAGCACAGAGGAAGCCCACGATCTTCTTATTGGGTGACTCGCACGCGCTCTTCTTCAAGCATGCTCTGACGCAAGCAGTGAGCGGCAGATTTGATGTGCGTTCGTGGGCGAGCGTCCACTTCATCGATGGCTTTTGGGAATCCAATCTTGATCCCCACAGAGGATATCCAAGTAAAAGGTATCATGCCGAGCTTCGGGAGCTGATTGCAGACGATCTGGTGCCTGGCGACATCGTAGCCATCGGCCTATTCATAGATGGGGTGATCGGCTCACAAATTGACATTGTCACGTCCTTCCTGAACGATTGGGTAACACTTGCCGACAATAAGAGTGCCAGAGTCCTCATGCTTGGGGATCATCACTCGTACATTCAATACTGGCCAGACGTCCCCACGAAGTGCAGTAATCTTGGGTTGCCGGCAGATCTGCGCAGTCATTGTTTTCCTAAAAAACAGGACGTGATGAACTCGGCGATCACCTTGAGGCTTCGGGAGTTGCAAAGGACTTCCAGCCTGTTGCTCTTTGAGTACAGGGACCTCTTCTGTCACGGGGACATTTGCATGCCCTTCATTCCTGGCAGCAACGTCATGGCGTACCAGGATCCCCATCACTTGACGGCAGCTGGCTCCCTGTACGTGGCGCCCTTCCTCTGCGAGTTCTTGAAGAAGCATGGGTTCCTTCAGAACGACAGCGGTATACAGTAGATACGTACCAGACAGGGCGAAAGCAACTCTCTAAAAATGCTGTCATGTGTCTCGCTTGCGTTTCACAAACTGCGCAGTTACCCTTCGCACGTCGTTGGAAACAAAGGCTATAACGACTGTGCCCCGCGGCACTGTGCAGCTTTCCGTTTTTCTTTGCGTGCCGGCACGCATGTCATCAGTCAGAGTGAGGGGGCCGAACGGTCGTTCATTGTCCCTGGGCGCGTGGCTGAAATGGGATTCCGCGGTGCGTGTCCCGCGCCCGCCCCCTCATTCTTATCCGCAATTGCGGGGTGCTACGTATGTTCCGTTCGTTTGCCAATGCGCCGTCAAGGCGCAGTTGCGTTCGTTCGTTCGCTCGTGGCGCACGCTGGCGGCAGCAAATTTACAGAAGCCAGAGGCGCGCCGACAGTAATCTCCCGGCCGCCAGCATGTTTTCTCTTTTCCTCTCCCCGGATTTGTTTTCCTCTTCCCTCCGCCCTCGCACGCACGCCCTGGGACTGCGTGCCCCTCCTCCTTCTCCTTCCCTGCCCTTGTGCGTGTGCCTCCCTTTTCCTCCTTCGGCTACTCGTCCTCGGCCCTCGGCTCCCTCTCCCTCTCCCTCTCTTTCCCCTCGTTTCCCCTCCCCCGTCCGTCGGCCCGCCCGCCCCCTGTGTCTGGTCTGTCTCCCTCCCCCCCCGTCGGCTGTGGCTCTTGGCTCCCCGCTCTCCCTCTCCGCTTGTGCTTGGCCCTCTTTGCCCTTGTCTTGCTGGCCCCTTTGTCGTCCAACTCGGCGCCCAGAGGGGCCTCGGAGTTCGCCAGTGCCGTTCTGTTGCGCGCAGAAGGCCCCCCCGCCGCCGGGCGTCCAGAGAGGGCGTGATATCAGGGCGCGGTGCGGGCGCGCGCGAACGGGCCTGGCGGAGGGACCGCGCCTCACCAGGCCTCCCCGCCGCCGGACGCCCAGAGAGAGCGACCCTTCGCCTCCCCCCCTCTTCCTCGTCCGCCTCTTCCTCCTCTCCGCCTCCTCCGCCCCGGGGTGTGCTTTGAGTGTGCGAGTGTGCGGGCCTGGCGGAGGGACGGCGCCTCAGAAGGCCTCCCGACCGCCCGGCGCCCTGAGAGGGCGTGGCGTCGCCCCTCCCTCGTACTCGTCCTCCGCCTCCTCCTCCGCCTCGGGGTGCGCTTCGAGTGCGCGTGAGTGCGGCCCTGGCGGAGGGACGGCGACTCAGAAGGCCTCCCCGCCGCTGGGCGCCCAGATCTGGCGACATGTCGCCTCCCCCCCTCGTCCTCCTCCTCGTCCTCCTCCTCCGCCTCCCTCCTCGTCTGATTCGCGGTGCCGTTCCGTGCTGGCTGCTAGGCGGCGACGCTCGGCGATGATGGGTCAGAGGCCTCTTGAGGGCACGGCGGATCCGACGCTCGGCCTTCTGAGAAGCCGTGGGCGCCTTCGAGGAAGAGGGTTTGGAAAGATTCTCGGAAGGTCGGAGGCCTTCTGAGCCTTCTGAACGCCCGCCCCTTCTGCCCTCACCCCTGGTCGCGCCGCCGAGAAAGAGTGAAAAAAATAAATAAATAAAAAAAGAATAATAATAAAAGATCCCACGTGTTTTACGATGCTGTTTGTTTGTTGGGGGTTTCTGGTGTATGAGACCCGAAGAAAGGCAGAGTGGCATAGGGACGGCCGTTGATGGCCCGAAGGACGGTCAAGATCAGCCCAGAAAGAGCCCCGAGAGGCCCCCCCAAAATCGGCCCAGTAGGCTCCCGGAGAGGTCTCTGAGAGGGCCTGGTGGCGTTCGGAAGTCGAGCACGTGAAACGGGGGTCGTGTTGGGGCGGAAGTGGTGGCCAGAGGCCGCCCTGGTCGCAGCCCGGGCCTTGGGGCCGGCAGGATGTGCGGGTCGCGGAGAGGACCTTAGGAGGGGTTGTGAGAGCTCAGAAGCAGGGGTAGGTATGGAAAGCGGGCCGCCGAGAAGATTTACAGGAAGCACTCTTGAAGACCATGCTGTGGATCTCACACGCCGTACCCAGTTTAACGACGGGCGAAGAACGGTATTACATGATTTGTTTCGCTGTCGGGGGCGCCTGTCCCAGGGCGACTGGAAAGTTTATACCCTTCCGGTGGCACGTCAAGGTATAGATTTTCCAGGTGCCCTGGGGCAGCGCCCCCGGTGACGGAAAAGATTATGTTATACCGTGCTTCGCCCGCTAACCAGTGGGGCGGCGGATAGCTTCGCGCATTCCGCTGGCCCATCCAAGTTGCAGTGCTGGTGCCATGTGTCCGGGTGGTCGTTGCGAATGCAGCTCTTTCGGTCGGTGGCAGCTCCCTGGGCGCACTCGGCCAAATCCGCCACCATGCCTGGGCCTCCTGGAGGCAGTTCGAAGGCCTCTTGGGGATTTGGGGGGAGCCGCTTGGGGGACTCCTTGAGACCTCTTGGGGAATCAGGCGATCGCAAACATGGATTAAGGGGGCGTTGATCAGCGACGGGTCCCGTTTCCACGGGAAATCGCGGACTTCAGCCGCCGAGCGAGGCGGCACCGGCCGCACTTTGAGGAGGGCACCTCCCCCGATCCATGGATTTGGCGACCGCGCACCAGATCCATGGATCGCTAATGCATGTTTTCAGAGCGTGAATTACCTCCCCCGCTTTCGCTTCCAGGCAAAACCAAGTCGTACCACGCGCCTCCTCGTCAAGCGGCCTGACCAGTACAGGCTGCAATTTGGCCTCGTTTGGTATCTCTTGGAAGCGAGGGTGGTCAAAAGCGAGGTAGGTTTGTTTCCCCACTATGTCTGCGCGCCCCCGAGGGAAGTCTTGGGGACCTGGGCGCCTCTTGGGTCCTCTCGAAGGCCTGCTGTGGCGGCCTCGGGGCCCGGGAGCCTCTCCTCCTCCTCCTCCTCCTCCTCCTCCTCCTCCTCCTCCTCCTCCTCCGCCTCCTCCTCCTCCTCCTCCTCCTCCTCCCCCCTCCTCCTCCCCCTCCTCCTCCTCCTCCTCCTCCTCCTCCTCCTCCCCCTCCTCCTCCTCCTCCTCCTCCTCCTCCTCCTGGCCTTTCCTGAGGCGAGTTGTGGAGCCTCTCGGGCCTGCTTGGGTGGATGCCCGAAAAGGGACGACGTCAAAGCCACAGAAAAATCCGTCGGGGAATCGATGACATTCGGCCTCTGGGGGGCCCTCCTGGGACTGTCTTGGACCATCTTGGGTCATCTTGCGGCCTTTTGAAACCATCTTCGGGCCATATCGGGCCCATCGATCCCGATTATCGGGCCTTCTTGGACTGCGAAGACGACGAAGACCCTGAAGACGACGAAGATGAAAGGGAGGGGGCGGGTTGCAGGGGTAGGAGGAGGAGGAGTGGCAGGAGGAGGTGGATGAGGGAAGAGGAGGGGGGGAATGATGAGGAGGAGGAGGAGCAGGGGGGGGGTAGGAGGAGGCAGAGGATAGCAGGAGGAGGGGGAGCAAGGGGGGGCAGGAGGGGGGAGGAGGAGGAGGAGGATGAGGCGCTGTGGCTTTCTTGGCTATTTGGGGAACACTGTTTCGGGGGGTTCGAGGGGAAAACGTATCTGGGCGGCGTTTACCCTGAGACCCACCCTGGGAACCCTCCCTGGGACTTTTCCCTCGTGGGGAACGAAGTGCAGGGAAGGGGCTTCTAACCAACTGCGCTAACGACGTTGTTCAATTTCGCCGTAGATCGCGCGGTTGAGACGACAGGCCCAGGAAAGGGGACGGGGGACGACGGAGGTGACGAGGAGACGATTGTGACGACGACGGAGACGACGAGAAGGAGGAGGAGGAGGAGGAGGAGGAGGAGGAGGAGGAGGAGGAGGATAATGAGGAGGATACTGAGGAGGATAAGGAGCAGGACGGCGACAACGAGACGGAACAGGAGGAGGAGGAGGAGGTCGAGGAGGAGGAGGAGGAGTACGACGACGTGGCATTCGGGGAAGTCTGGCGTTTGTCGCAGGGCTGCTTGAAGGACTCTTGAAGGCCTCGGCGCGGGCCTCCTGGAAGTACGTGAGATCTCGTTGCGGGTTCCTGGAGCACTCTTCTGGCTTCCTGGGGGCCTCTTCGGGGCATGTTGCGGGAGGAGGAGGAGGACGACGAGGAGGAGGAGGAGGAGGAGGAGCCGTATCCTGCCTGAGAGAGGGATGAGTCGGAGGAGAAGGAAGAGGAGGAGGGGTAGGAGGAGGAGAAAGAGAAGGGAAAAAAGAGGAGGAGGAGAAGGAAAAGAAGAAGGATGAAGAGCAAGACGAGGAATAGGAAGAAGAGGGAGGTCAGGAGGAGGAGGAGGAGGATAATCAGGAAGAAGAGGAGAACGGAACAACCATGAGGAGGAAAAGGAGAAGAAGGAGAATGAGGAGGAGGGATTTGAGGAGAGGAAGGCGGAGGAGGAGGAGGAGGAGGAGGAGTAGTATAAGGAGCAGGAGGAGGAAGAGGAGGGGGACAGAGGAGGAGGAGGAGGAGGAGGAGGAGGAGGAGGAGGAGGAGGGAGAGGAGGCGGAGGGGAGGAGCCTCTTAGAGCCTTGGTGGGGGTGTTCTTGGCGAGCTCCTGGGACGTCTAGGAGGCTTCTTGGATCGATTTGGGGCCATCGTGGCCGTGTTGGGCCGATCTTTGAGCGACACGGGGCTCTTGTGGGCAGTCTTGGGAGCCATCTTCGGCATTCTGGGTTCTTTTGAGGGCTGTTCGATATGTCGGGGCCGCCCGGGGGAAAACGAATCTGGGTGGCGACCCCCCCCCCAGGACCTCCCCCCCAGACCACCACCTGGCCCCCTCCCCCCCCCCCGCGGGGAAGGGATCAATCCCTTCGACTCCAATAGGACGTTGTATGATTTCGCTTTGGATGGCACGCTTGAGGGCCCAGGGAAAGGGACAGGGGACGACGGATACGGCGAGGAGACGATTGTGGCGACGACGAAGACGACGAAGAGACGACGGAGAAGTCCCTCGCACACGCCGACAGGGTCGGCGGATATCCCTTCGCGTCCTTTGGGGCGCTCTTGGGGGTTCTGACGAGACGACTATTCCCAGGGAGTTGCCCCCGGGGTATTTGTCCTCCAGGGGCGCCCAGGGCCGCTACGCGCGCGCGAATTTGTAATGTATTATACCCGAGAAGATGCCCAATCAGTGGATTGTCGTTTTTATTTGGAGGTGATGCACGATTCTCTCCTCTCTCTCTCTCTCTCTCTTCATTTACCTCTTTCTATCACTCTCCCTGACTTTATTGAATCATGCTCCGTATTCTCTGTTGTGCATTCTCAACTCCCTCATATCGACTCTCTAATTTTGACCGTGGCCGCAAGTATTTGTTTTTTGTTGTTCTCTCTCTCTCTTTCTCTCTCTTTCTTTCTTTCTCTCTGGTCCGTCTCTTTCAATATCTCTCTCTCTCTCTGTTGCTATTTGTTTTCGTTACCTACCCTCTCAATTCGCTATGCCCTCCTAATAACGAAAACGTATTCTCTGATCTCTCTGCTCGACTACCTCTGATCCGTACTCTCTACTCTGTACGATCTGCTCTTTCATTCTGACCGTCGCAGGGACCTGGGTGCTCGATCACTTGATAACCCAGGAGCCTTCTGGTGCTGGGCTCCTCTGGACCAGGAACCCGGGAGCGAACCCAGCCGCCCATTGAGATCGGCCCGGAGCGGGGAACCCAGGAACCTGGCCGCCCACCGAAAGCGTCTCGGCATTCTCGTCAGAACCCGAAGCTGGGAGCCTCAGAACCCACCCGCTGATTGAAATCGGCCTTGTATAGCCTAGTTTGTGTATGTCCCCCAGGACCCCTTCAGCGCAATCACTGATTGGGGAACAGTTGTACTCTGAAAGTCCGACTGGAGATTTTAGCACGCCTTCCTTGCTTGTCCTATAGCGAGTCCTGGGTCGAGGATATCGCCTAGCTAATGAGAGGTATTGATTGTTGGCGTCAGTGATTTTCAGACGGGACATTCGTAGGGGTGGGCAAGCGCACAGTTTGTTGGCGTGTACAAGCGATGATGTTTGTCTTTGCAGTTACGCTCTAGATGCGAACGGCGTGTTCGCTGTTGAATTGTCATGCCGTCGTATCCTTCCTGTTGTAGTTGAATGTTATTAGAGTCATATTGCTTGTCCTGTGATTTCCTGTTCGTATCCATGACGTTAGTTTGTGGTATCTTTGTCGTCACGACGCAGTTCTTGTGGACATGCGTTCTGCATGCAGTCGTACAAGGAGCGAGACAAAAACTTGGCGAAAGAGAAGGCAACGTCAAGAGCTAGTTCTACCACACCGTTCCGGGTGGACAGCCTGCGCCGCCCACGTTCTGTGTGCCTCGACGTAGTGTTCTTTCTCGGTCGGGTGAAGATTTGCAGGCTTGCACCTTCGCGTCTCGTTGTCAATCAGATTGAGAGCCGAATCGACCAACCCTGATTCTTCGTTGAGGCATGAGATGCATCAGGAGGATGGGGAGCAGGAAGAGGGTTGGAGAGGAGACGAAGTGGAGGAGGAGGACAATGGAGACGAGCACAGAGAGATGGAGAGAGAAATAGAGAGAGTGAGAGAGAGAGAGAGAACGAGCGAGCGAGCGAGCGATTAATGCGCACA